ACAAATGAGCAAGTTCAAAGAATTACACAATTGAATATCTTCTTTCTCTCGTTCTTTTAGAGATGAACTTTTAAGTACCACAAATTTGAAGAATTATGAATTATAATCCCAAATTTGTTGTACGCAATATTTCATGAGTTTTATGGCTTAGGTTATTTTAGAACTAGGGCATACTTATATTATTCAGAAATGATGGGTTGCGGTATAAAGTATATATGTAACTTAAATACAATAATTGTTATGTGTGGAGTTTTTTCCACTTTTAGTTATCCGACTATTATGTCATTGACATTTTAGGTACTCGACTTTGAATTTTTCCATTTTTAGTCTTTAACTATTGCGCTAAGACACTTTTGGTCGTTTTTGAAAATTTCCATATTTAGTCCTTCAACTTTTATAAAAGTGACATTTTTAGTCCTTCAACTATTATAATAGTGACTTTTTTATTCCTCCACTTATTGCGTCAAAATCATAATGGGAGGACTAAAAGTGTCAATTTGACAATACTCAGGGACTAAATGTGGAAAACCATGAAGTCGGGGACTAAAAGTGTCTCTAGCACAATAGTCAAGGACTAAAAATGGAACAATTAGAAGTCGAGTACCAAAAATGTCATTGACATAATAGTCGAGGGGCCAAAAATGGCAAAAACTCTTGTAATGTGCATGGAACATGCTCATTATTAGACTTTTTTAATTACACCAAACTCAAATACCGAGTAGTCATTATGAGAGTATGAGACTCGTAGCTTATGAATGACTACGTATGATAATGCAGATAAAACTCAACTTTATATACAAAATTTGACAAGACCAACTTAGACATAGTAAACTAACCATACTTAATAGACAATATTGGATTAGAAATTAATAGGGTAGACTACAATATTTTCATACCTTTTGACGAAGTATGAAATGTCACTTGTGGTTTGGAATATCGGGACTGAAATATATATCGAGTCAATGTCATATTGGTCGAGTTAGCTAACATTATTTGATTAATTAAAGTCAAAAGGACAGTATAAACGTTTCTAGATTGTAATGCTAAAATTAAAGAATATGGTGGTGCTCATTACTTGACCAAACATAAACTGAGCTCCGTATATGAAATAGGACAGCACAAGAATAACCCGAACCCGCATAACCCGCCCGACCCTACCCTATCCGACCCTATTTAATTGGGTATTTGATTTTAAAAAATATTCATGAGTTAAATATGTTTGAACCCGCACCTAATAGGTAGGGTTGCGGAATTAAAATCTCAAACCCAATAGTACCCGACCCGGTCAAAATTCATTTTACTATTATTATGCTACAATTTTTTTTTTATAATTTCAATTTAAGACCAATGTGCTTTATCTAGGACTTTATGATATTAGAATTATAATTAAACATTTACCATTTTGACTAGGTGATTATTATATATTTACGTTTCCTTCTGAATGCACTTTCTTTACGGAAAGGTGTTTTAATACTATTACCTAATGTTTTTGCTTATAAAAGACACGAGTACTTGTATTTGTTTGTGTGTTTTGGAAACAAGTTAATCGAGTTTTAAATTGTTTACATTAATTTTCAACATGAAAGATGCAATCCGAAGTGATTTTTTTTAAAAAAATCCGACCCTACCCAACCCGTTCATGCATGGTTTAACAACTTATTTTGCATACCGCGGGTTGGTTAATAGCCAACCCGAACAAATCGGGTAGACCCAAAAAATATAGCAAACCCGATCCAACCCGCCCGATGTGCAACCCTAATATGAAATCCATTGCCATTATAGCATCAATACGTAAATATGCAATGCCAATGCTTTACTTAAACAGGCGGTCTTTTACCATTTCAGACTTTGAAATTTGAACACTAAAAATGGTTCACGAGAAAAATTAGAAAATCCTCATAATATATGCAAATTTGGAGTACAAACAAATCAAAGTATTCTCGGTTAATTCAATGTCCAAACTTCAAAATCAGATTTGCGTATTTTTTAATCCCAATTTGAATAAGAAAAAGTACTCAAATTTGGCATTTCATAAAATATTTGAAATTAATCAGTATATTTTTTCGAATTTTAAAGGGAAAAGGGGCAAAAGCCCCTTGAAGTTGTGGGCATATATGCCCTTAAACTTATTTTTTGAGCAAAAACCTTTAAAACCCATCAAAGGAGGGCAATTACACCCTTGGTTACGGTGAACCCATTTAACACCGTTAACCTCTACATAGTATTAAAAACACTCCTTTGCATTTTCAACGGAATAAATTTTAATTGTATCTATTAACTATATTTGTAAGTTAGTTGAAATGCATAAAATATATGAGTCATATAGAAGTACCCAATAAAAAGTGACATTCGACTTAATGTCCATAAAAGAAGATTATATTTTGATATTAATATTATGAAATATGAATACACTATATATTGTGTAATTGTGTCGCATTACTTTTGCCTTATTTACCATATATAGCCTGTTCGGTAGTATATTTTAAATCAATTGTGTATATTTCGGATAAAAAAAATGACTAGTCACCGTGTACGAGTAGTTGGACAAGAATCAATATAATATTTTTCAGAATGACAAGTTACTAGTAGATGAATGACTCGTTTGGTAACACTAAAATCGGCTGAATTGGCTGATTCTGCTGATTAATGAAAAAAAAATTATATTAAAAATATATTCTATTAATAAAATAAAAAAAATTATATGAAAATAACTAAAATGATCATCTACAGTAACTTCAGCTAATACAACCAAGAAAGTAACTTCAACCTTATTTTTTCTTATTATTACACAATTTAGCGTGCGAAATCAAAAGTTATGTGTGTTTGGTTAAAAATTTGGTCGATAAGCTAGATAAGCCGAAAAACAGAGTGACCAAGAGGTCGTTTGACAACACTGTTTTTCGGCTTATCAGCCAACTTTTCCACCAAACATGCAATTTTTGCTTGAGCGCGCTGAATTGTGTAATAAGCAGAAAAAGTAAGATTGAAGTTACTTTTCTGGTTGTATTGGCTGAAGTTACTGTAGATGACTATTTTAGCTATTTTGCATATAATTTTTTCTTTATTTTATTAATAAAATATATTTTAAAAATATTTTTTTCTTAAATCAGCATAATCAGCCAATGCAGCCACTTCAACCAGAATCTCATAAATTTCAGGAGAATCAGCCATAACAGCCGATTTTGGTTCTACCAAACGGGCTCCAAATGAGCTTGAAGAGTCACTGAGAACTAGTCATTGAATGTGTCACTTTTTTGAATTGTTTTGAAGTAATTCACATTTTGTCTTTTGGATTCGATTTAGTAATATTCATGGAAAAATGCCATGATATTTGAAAAATATTATTTATTTGTATTCGTTAGATTCAATTAATTGAGCCGCTTCGGTCACAATTTCACCAATTTTAGTACATACAAGTCATACAACCGATTAAGTCAATTTCAGTGTTATCAAACGGACTCTCATCATAATACAAAGTAATTCTTTTCTAGCTAATTGCTACTACCTTTTTGTATAATTGTTACTCCCTATTTCATTACTTAGGCGCTTTTATGGCTTACTGGTATTTCTAATTTTTTTTTATTTATATTTTATATAGAAAAGAAATAATTACATATTTATGATTAAAATAAAGATTATTTACAAAAATATGACTAACGACTAGAGTAGTAATGGAAACATAATAACTTATTATTAATTTTCAAACTTAAGTTATCATGACGACACTACAAGCCCATTTGGTAACACTGAAATCAGCTGAATCGGCTTATGTTGCTGAAATTTATGAAGTTCTGGCTGAATGGATTGGCTGATTATGCTGATTTATGAAAAAATTATATTTAAAATATTTTTATTGATAAACAAATAAAAAATTATATGAAAAGTTAGTTAAAATAGTCATCTATAGTAATTTCAGCCAATATAACAAGAAAAGTAACTCCAAGTTTACATTCTTTTATTATTTCACATCTCACCGCGTGGAATCAAAAGTTACATGTTTTGTGAAAAAAAATTGGTTGAAAAGTCTAACAAGACGAAAATTAGACTACCAAACGGATTTTACATAGTAATTATTAGTCATAGTTGTGTAAATAATTTTATTTTAGTAATATTTTTTAAACAAACTCTTTTATATAATCAACTAATTTACAAAATTAGTTAACATATAAAACCAAAATAAATTTCGTTATTCAAAGGAACTACTAAGGGTTGGTCCGCTGCCAATTCTCTTAAATGAGTCGCCGTTAGAGAAGGGGATGAATGCCCACCTTTGAGGAATTTTAAAGGTTTTTGAACAAATTAAAAGTTTAAGGGCGTAGATACCCTTTCTTGATAGGGATGGACTCTGGCCGGGCCAACCGGCCCGGAACCGGACCGGCCCGCTACTGCGCGGGCCCGGACCGGCCCGGTGAACCGGTTCGTGCCCGGTTCGGGCCTCCAGTTTAGTGAACCGGCTGGGCCGGGCCGGGGCCGGGGACGGTTCGGGCCGGAATTTAATTTTTTTTTTTTTGGGAATTTTTTTTAAGTTTTGGGTTGGATTAGGTATTTTGGGCCATTTGAGGTGGTTTGGGGTGGTTTGGGGTGGAGAGGGAGGGGTAGGGGGTTAAATAAGAGAAGAAGAGAAAAAAAATTAAAAATCCGGGTGGCCCGGCCCGGCCCGGTCTGGCCCAGAACCGGACCCGGAACCACCCACCACCGGTTCAGGCTCAGGCCTCATTTTTCTGAACCGTGGCCCGAACCGGAACCAGTCCACCCCTATTTCCCCTTTTCCCAATTTTAAATATCCACAGACATGGATGGATGTTGGGTACTTGGGCTCGCCAGGTACAACCGTACAATTTATGTTTTCTGTTTTTGCTTTAATATTATTTTTTCGTAATGGTTGTGCACCAAGGTTCCAAGACTCTTGAGAATTGGTATGTTACATGCCAATGGCCCAATATTTAGAGGTGCCTGTAAATATGATTCATATGAAAACGCCTCTGACTTAATTTTGGCTACTGAAACTGACCACGGAGGCACGGATTGAAACTCATGTACATTCATTCATTAGGAAAATAATGAATTAAGGTTAAACTGCTTCATACAGAGTATATTACAATATAAATATTTGAATCAAATCCAAAATGTATCAAACATGTTTTACAAATCTGATTCTATTCCAAATTCCAAGTAAATTAATCAAATCCAAATATTTGGATATTTGATTCCGTTGGATTCATTTGACCCAAGATCCACTCGTGTCGGTAGAGTAGGTACGGTTGACATACGAATCTCCTCTGGTCTTTACTAAAGACTAGTCACATTGATAATATAATGTTTTCCAGAAAACACAAAAAACGCACACCAGAACTGGAGGTTCTGTCTAATGGAGACACGAATCCTAGTAAAAGAAACCAAGTACTTTGCCACCAACATTCTTTCTTCTGGCTTCCTCGTGGTCCATGATCCCGGCTGAGGTTGTCAGCACGATGTAACCAAACTGAAAAGTAAAAAATCATGCAATGTACCGATATACTGACATAAACTAAATACTGTGTTGCCTGAACTGGACCGGGAATCAAACCATCCAAGTGAGCGTGCTAAAGGTCAATCAAGACCCAGTGTCCAAGACAATGAACAGCCGGTCAATTGTAGGGTCAGCCACTTCAAAATAAATTTTCCCATTGAAACTCCAAGTGATATATATTTTGGTGGTTCTTTATTTGGAGCAGCTAAAACCTAATGGACAAGATGAAATTTGACAACCATCTATCCATATGGAAGATTGGGCATTTAGATTGCCAAAAGTTCAACTCCCAAGAATGGAAAAGGTTCTACACTGCTATCTTTCATAGTTGGAAAATAATTTCCGTTAGTATAAATTGCATTGCAAATGGTACTACAACATTCATAAAATATGATACACAAGAAAACAAGAAGTTTGATCATTATCAGGTGGTACCTGTCTAGAAGGAAGCAATTTGGCAGTCCAACCTTCAATATCTTTGACACCAACATCAAAACGTGGACTGATAACCCCACATTTATTCAGCCTTCCATTCAGCTCAACAACAATTTTTCCAGACCTGTGATCATCAACGTACTCAAACTCTCCAATGTAACCTAAAATAAGATAAACAGTGAACACAAATGCAGGTTAGCAAGTGCCCTGAAAAACAGAACTGTTATATACATTCAGGGAAATGTAATAAAAGTGTACCATGCTTTTGCATAACCAGGAGAAACTTGATGATTACTTTGGAAGAAGGTCTAATCATGACCTGACGCTTCCCTCTCTTCTCAGCATTGTACATGCTCTTGAGAGCATCGTTCAAAACACTAACTCTCACCATGTCTTATACTACGTATAAGATTCCCTACAATATCATTTAAGTTCTCAGAATTTAATATGTAGTACATTTTATTCAGTCAATGGAAGAAACAACTTTAACATGGGAAAACGAAATGCTTAAAATCAACAGTTGTATCGTACTCCATCCATTAATTCTTACTTCGTATTTGTTACTCCGTACTTAATAAGAAAGTAAGAGAGGACAATGGAGATGTGGATAAAGGGGTAACCAATTGCGAAATGAAGTTGTACATTTCGTCAAGATTTTGCATCTACATTTTTAACTATTTCAATGAATTTGGATATTTAATCAAATGTGCGTCTTAATTTTGTTATCTACATTTACAAATATTGATTCAAATGTGCGTCTTATTCAAGTTAGGTGCAATTTATTCAAGTAAAGGTTGAATTTTAATAAATGTAATCTAAGGTTAATAACAAGGCATAATCTTATAAATTATGAAATAGAACAAACAACAAAAGCTTCTAAAAAAACATCAAAAACAGGGAGAATATGTGCGTGTCATTTTCAAAGCTGAGATTATGCCTCCAAACATTTAAAGTTCTACACACACATTAACTAGCAAACGCAGATTCGAACATCGAACCAGATCACTCCAAATGAAGAAATCTAAGCACTGATGACATGAAGAACTGAGCTGTGGAGTGGAGCTAATGAAATGAAAATCTGAAGGTACCCATAATAATTACGCAGTGATAAAAATCCAGAAACTGCCCGCCATATCTTTTAATTGATACATGGAGGAGAGTAAAATGAAATACCTGGAACTGGATGTCGAAGAATTATATACGTAGTACGTAATTTTTTCGGATACCGAAGGGAGCTTATATACTCCTGTCGAAATCAGGTCATGTTTCTTTCTAGGGCGAAGTAAATCCCAGAAAAATCGAGTTGGGCTTGCAACAATATTTATTGGTCCAAACTTTGTCGGTCCATAAATTAAAAACAATTGATCCGTTTAATATATTACTGCTAAACATAGTCTTTCTAGTCCCACACAACTTTGTGAAATTTGCTTATTTAATCATGTGAAGAAATATGTATATGTTTAAAGTTAGTTTTCTCTCTTCGGACAAATCTCGCCAATACAGTTTTTATCTGATTATTCCACGTGTAATAATGGATGAACACAATTTTTTATGGCCAGTGATGTCAACTCTAGCCGCACACAACAGAAATAGAAGAAGTGGAGGAGCAAATTTCACGATGGGAGGGATGACAACAGGGCAGCAGGTGGTGCTTAGAAATAGGGCAGCGGCGACAACGGGATGTGCTCAGAGGTTGATATCCGTCAACGGTTCCTACTCTCCAAAGTGGCCATTTGAGAAGATGAGTTATGTTATTTAGGTAAGAGAATTAAACGCCATTTAATTACTTTTTTGTCCATAACAACTCTAAGAGTAATATTAGGATCATTTTTTCTTTTGTTGAAACTCATCTTAAAAATTACACTACAAATATCTAATGGTGGAACAACTTTGACAGAAATCCCCCAAATTGGTGCCAAAGGTTTTCACAAAAAATGGCATGACATTGTGATAAAATATTGTGGCAATGCGTGTTAAATCCATGTTGAAGTTGTTGTTATTGCATTAGAATAAAGTTAAATATGCAAACCCATATAATAAAATGGAATTGTGTGAAGTGTGGAAAGAGAGGATCTGAATTAAAATTTCTTTTGAGGTATTGATGGTATTATATTGCAGTTGTAGGGTTGAATATAGTTCTATTTTTGGAACGAAAACTTGGGGCTATTAGTTCTTATTCTTAAAGTCCAAAACATATATAGAATTCTAATATGAATTTAGAAATGAAGTTCAGTGGTGCAATTCTAGTGCATCCATACATGGATGGGGCGGTAAGTTGAAATCCTAATTATGTTTTTCTTTTAAAAAAACACTAAATGTTCCGATTTAGAATGTCCAAAAGTGCTCATAACTGCACCTAAATTCGGAATGCGTGGGCTTATATTTTGATTGGTGCAATCGATTTTGGTTAAAATTGTCTAGTGTAGAAACGTACACTAACTATACTGCAATTGGATCTGACCCGTCATCCCCACCCAGTAAAATTAACTTCGGAGTCCACCACTGAGACGTGCATTTTATTGTAGATAAATGGAACATGACATAAAACAATTGGGGTAACAACCTGTTGCGACTAATGGTAGCTAAAAGCTACATATTTTCTCTCACTAATAACACTTCCTAGAGTGAGAAATTATAAAGTAGATAGTGAGAGAGTCTCTTTGAGAGAGGAGAGATAGCTTAGGAAGACTTTATTCTTATTTCTCAGGCTTGACTTAGCCACTATAGATTGAGTCAATTTTGTAAACACATTCTTGTAATCTCACTATTCTTTTGAATAGTGGAAGAATTTTCATATTAAAGAATTATACTTGTGTTATTCCATTATTGCCTTTACTTTTTAATTGCCCGTCACAATTTCATGAAGCGATAAAATATTGATTTTTCCCAATGGTGGTATCAGAGCCAAGTTCCTCAAAAGTGGTCATTCGCCCGTGCAGTTCAGTATAGAGGATAACATCACTCATTATAGATATATATGTTCAAGCTCTACTCACAATCAACAACTACTCATATTCGAAGCCAATGATGGATAATTTTACTATTGCGGATTTGTATGAGCTCATCATCTACAAATATAAGGTAGAAGGCAAGAGTGATTCTGAGAGAGAGCTATTGAATCGAGAGGTTGTTGCTATGATCCATAAGTACATTTACAAAACTTTATTTGAACATGTTTCTACATACACATTCATATGAATTATGGACAAAGCTTGAGGTCATGATTCATATGAAACAAAACATGTTTCTAATATTCGGCATATGCATATATATAATAAAAATCGAATCTGAAGGCATGAAACAAACCACGGTGCATGGGCTGATTCATTTATGGAATCACTAATTAATAAACCAGCAAGCGCAGCATGTCCGAAGTTTAACCTAAGAAATTTATTTCGATAATTAAGGATCCACAGACCCATCCATTAAGAAATTTATTTAGATAATAAAGGACACAATATTTAAGCATCAGCGGTTGAATAATGCAAGTAGAGGCAGTCAATCAAGCTGTTGCCTTTTTGCCGAGAAACACAGTTGTGAGTATAGATTTGGTGTGCAGGGAAGCCTTCAACACCTCCAGTCCCTGCCAATCACAAGTAATAAGTTAAAATCAAATAATAGTATACGTATAAAATAAATAAAATAAAAGCAATGTAATTTAAAATACTCCGCACATTTTAAAGTTTGCCATTTTGCCCCATATTGAGTTCTTTACTAAAATAGATTCGATTACTTAACTCTTTCTTGTAAATAATAATGACTTATATTATGATAAAAAGTAGATACAAATGAAAAAAACAATTTAAAATCTTCATTCAAAATCTAATTCTGTAGGATTAAAAAGATTATTTGAGTTTACTTCAACCCGAGATTAAAGGAGAATGTCTAATTCAAATTAAATACTACATAAATTATTGAACCAAATCATCAATAAAATAAGGTGAAAATGTTAGGGAAAAAGATGAGTCTCTAAACTAAAACAAAAAGTAGATTATTAAATCCTAAAAGAAAAATTGATGGTAATAATCCCAACTATTGGCGGTCCGCTTATAATAATCACAACTATCAATTATTTCAGAATAATCTCAACTTTAGGGACTTTCCGCCAATAATGATCCCTATAAATAAATTCTTGTAGTTTCTAAAGTGGATTAGAAGAGATATAGCAAGTAATCCCTATAAATAACCTCAACTTTTAATTTTTATGATTAATTTCTATTAAAATTCACTTATTATATGAGGTAATATCTGATCATGGACCATTATTGGCGGATGGTCTATATAATTGGGATTATACAAAAATAATCAATAGTTGGGATCATTGTCACCGAACCGCAATAGTTGAGATTATTATTTTCAAATTTTCCATTTCTAAAAGTGAGATCTTTTAAACATACATATCATCTCGGGTTGTCAAAAAATATGATCTATTCAATTCTAAAACAATTTTTTTGAGTGTTTAATCTTGTAAAGTCGTACCGGAGTATCCCAAAAGCTATTACTAAAACAAATTTAAATTTTATTCCTATTGTACCATATTTACTTATATTTTTGGAAATTTTTTAAGTAAATGGGAGCTTTCCGTAAACAGGTCAACTACTAGGGTTTTTTATTAGATTTTATCGGTTTTGATTCGATTCGGTTTGAAACGGATTGGAGGAGTTAGTACGTACCAAACAAAAATCATACGGAGTACGTAGTTCTATTTTTCGATTTGGTTCGGTTCAATTTAGTTTAGTTCGGTTTGGAAAGGATTGGAAGAGTTAATACCAAACAGGCAAACAAATATCATACGGAGTACTAGTTGTTGATCTGGTTCAGTTCAGTTTAGTTCAGTTTAATTTGATTTAATTTCATTCGTTTCATTTCAATTTGATTCAGTTTTAATAAAGAAATAGTACTCACATCAAATTCAAACAAATTTGAATATGAATTGGATTCACTTGAACCAGAATACGTGTAAAGACTAAAGTACTACTCCGTAATAAGGAATTACGGAGTATATATTATTACCTCTTGAAAACCCAAATGGACGATCTTGACCTCAAGGGAACCAAAGTCCTTAACACCATTCTCGTTGAGTATGGTGATGGCCGAAATGGTAGACTGCGGAATCACCTTCAAATCGACCATTACCATATAGCTAGGTAGCAAGCCTCCTCACGAACCCGCCTGCGCCGTTCATATCACGACCGGCTGAGGCAGACTGCGCCGCCGTGGGATTGACCGCAGTGACATAACTAATCTTTCTGTCCACATAACGCCTACAGTTGGGACAAGTCGCTTTCTTGGTCTCGGAGAAGTTGTTGTAGCAGTTACTACACAGGTAGAATGACACCGTCTCATCGTCGTCGTCCGCCAAGAGGAGCGGAACGTTTGTGCAGGAGGAAGAGGGGATTAGGGGTTTGGGGTTCAAGAGGGCGTCTTTGTCGACGTGGGGTTGAAGGTAGGTGTCGTTGAGGTTCTGGATACTGCCGTACAGGTTTCCCAGGGACCCAACCATGGAGGAGCTGACCAGTTTGATCATTGTGCCGAGGGGGAAGGACATGAGGTGGAACGGTTTCTCCGCTTCCGCGTAAACCACCTTCTGGGAACTTTTGCTGATCAGAAGCTTCAAGCTCACCGTCTTCGTTGTTGGGGTACTGCCGTCTGACATTGTTAATTAATTCCCGGCCTTCTACGTAATAATTCATTCCAAATAGATGAAACAGGATATATATACATAGATCAGATGGATGGGAGATAGTTAATTAAAAGTCGCATCATCAGCAATACTAGCTGTATTGAACATAGAAGAAGATCTATCGCCGTCGGTTATGTGACCTTTGGATTAGCTTCGAACGTTAGTATGGATTATTATCGAGTATATTTTACAGAATTTGCCTTGGATAAGAGTAAAACATGGTAAAAGTTCAATAATAAGAGTTAATCTTTTTTATTCCCAAACTAGGAGTTTACAAACTTTACATTACTTATTTACCCCTCAAAACTATTCAATCCCTAATTATTTTAAATGCCCCAGCAACTCATCGATTCCTCTTACCTGCGCATCATCGAAGACCAAGAGGCCAAGAGGGACCTTGCTGCACCGCTACTCCGGCTAAGAGGGAGATTCTCCGACGAGATCGTGTAACTTTTTTACACGATTCCTCTTTGTATCTCCTGTAATCTTCTTCTTCTCTTCTCCTCCGTCTTCTTCTCTCCTCTTTCTTCTTCTCCTCTCCTCCTTCTTCCCCCTCCTCTCCTCCTCTTCTCTTTCTTCTTCCCCGCTCCTTTGCCTTATCATCTGACTTTCTTCTTCTATTGAATTTTTTGTTATCTTCCATTAATTTTTTTGTTTTCAAATGAGAATCTAACTGATAACGATATTCTAGATCTGCAAATTTTGGATTGCAAAATGGGAGATTTCAACGATTTAGACTACGAATGTTAGATCTGTTTCTGTTTTACTTTTTATTCCTTCTAATTTATTTTAAAAAATAACATTATTTTTTTCTGAGCATTTATAAAACTAAAAAATTGAAGTTCGAAAAAATGTGTAATTATCAAGATGGCAATGAATTAAAAGTCACATAATTATAGTGCCATGTTTTCCTATAATAAAAATGTCACTTTGGCATATAATATCATTTTTATGGTATACTGTCATTTCTCTGTGAGTTTCCATCATTTTTGTGTAAAGTGCCATTGTATCAAATGGAGTATATGAAAATGTCATCTTTTTATCAAGAAATGCCATATTTCTGTATTTGTAAATGCTATGGTTTTAGATATGTGAATTCCATGTTCTTAAACCAATCATACAGAGTATATGAAAATGCCATCTTTTTATCAAGAAATGCCATATTTTTGTATGTGTAAATAGATATGTGAATGCCAATGTTCTTAGATTTGTGAATGCCATATGAAAATGTCATTATTATTTATTGTTAGTTTAATTAGACTAATAATGACATCTTAAAGAGAAGGTGGCTGCTGCAATTCGCCAGAGCTCAGCGGTAGCAGATGACACTCGCTAGTGGCAGAGGCAGAGGCGGCAGCTCTGTGGAGGCGGCGGCGGAAGCTCTGTGGAGGCGGCGGTGGCTCTGAGGAGGCGGCGGTGGCAACACTGTGGAGGCAGCGGTAGCAGGTCCCTGGATTTGGCCGCCACAAGCATCTACTTGGATGCACACACGCGGTTCCTTTAACATTGTGTAGACTAATTTTAAGTTATTTTTCTTTTCTTTATGTAGAATGTTGATTAATTTCATTAAGGGTATTTTGGTCTATCTATAGTAACTTTACTCTTATTTCGATCGTTTCAAACGTTGAGCTCTTATCTTTGACCTTCTTCAATGTATTACTCCTATTAAGGTAATTAGCCCTATATTTTATTACAACCTGATGTATAGTGAGCACCATATAGGCGGCCCAGTAACAGACCCAATAGAAAAATAACAAAATAATTTGGTAACATTTTTGTAATCAATGTCAAAATCACAGTTTCTGCTAAATGAGCATTAGTATACTGTTAATGAGCAATAGTCCAATTTTAATGAGTATTAAGCGCGATTACAAGAATGAGCATCATGTTATTACAAGAAAGATAATATCACAACTAAAAAATGTGGCATTTTCGTAATTTCAGTGAAAAGCGCGATTTTTGTTAGATGAGCATTAATACACTTTTAATGAACATCTGACGTATTCTACTGAACATTAAGAGACGAATAATGAGTATTGTAATATCAACTTCATATTTTTATTTTAGTTGAACATCAAAACATTTTCATTGAGCATTAAATATTGAATTAAAACTTCCATATTACATTAGATTCCCATGAGATCGAGTTAATTATAGACACGAGAGTAGATATTATTATACTCAATTGCATGCTAGCTTTAAATACTCAATAGAAAAAGTTAGATGCTCAATGAAAATGCCTTGATGATCCACTAACAAAGCTTATTATTTTCATATCAATGTTCATTTTATATGTTACATATACTCAATTGGTACTGATGTTATGCTCATTTTTAAAATGTCATATATCAAATGAACAAATATAACTTACAAAATGAGTATCAAGAAAGACAAAAGCTCACTATAAATCTTTATTTTACTCAAATATTCATTTGTGCATACTCATGTATTTATAATAACATAAATAAGCCCCATCTATGTATAGCCCGTACATCAAAATCCAAGTCCAAAAATCTCCGGTAGATTAGCAATTGGAAGCCAATACGAAATTTGACCAAAAAATTTCCACTCAATATTCATGAGTAGTTCAATTTTCCACTCAATTGAACCAATCGGAAATTCCAAAAATCTACAGTAGCGTCTTAATTGGAAAGCAATTGGAAATCAATGTTGTCTTGTGAGGCAGTCAGCAAGAGACTCACGCAACTAGAGACAACGCCGCACCCCATAGCCAGCGCAATGCGGAAGGCAGCAGAGGAAGTTTGATGGGGAGAACACCCAGTTAGACGAACACGATCGAATCCCAGATGACGATGAGATGCTCTATCGGCGATGACACATGAGGACGGTGCGGAAGCCAGACTGCAAGATATAACACATGAGGACCGTGCACACGGTACAACCGGTTATAGAATGTAATTTGTCATTATTATCGAAATGTGCACCTTGGAAACGCTCCAGGGAAAGCAAATTAATGGTAGTCTTTATTGTGAATTTACAAAATTTGAGAAATTAAACAATAACAGAAATCAGATTAGGTTTGCTTGTATTAATAGTTTTTTGTTGTCAGCCCAAATTTTTTTTATGGTCAATGTACGTATATATTATTAAAATCATGAAAGTAAAGAAATTACAATGGACCAAATTAAAAAAATTACATCCTGGCAATTGTAGTTTGCTCCAGTGCACATTCACAGCAAACGTAGCAATGGCGCGCTGCTGGACATTCCTCATTCTCAAAACAAAGGGTTTACCATCCTCTTGTTAGGGGTGGACAAAAATCCCTATACCGGTCTGAAACTATCCTGATCCATTTAGGACACAATTGATTCATCCCGAACCGGTCCTGCACTGATATTAACCGGGACGGGACTGAGATAGCTATAAAATATAATGTCCCGTCCTGGTATCTCGTTTGAAATTAATATGGTAATAGCCAAACCCAATTAAAACTTTCTAGTCCTTAGTCTCGCTAGTGTATTTTTATCTTATTTCATGTCTCTCCTAGTCTTGTTTATTTTGATTAAAATTTGTTTAGTTCTCATTCCAATACTAATCCATAATATATTATTACGTGCGAAATATTATTTATGATGTAATAACTACTACTCCAAATTATAGTGTTGTTATAGATTTAATATTTTTCAAAATAATTACTATAAAATATATATAGTGTCTTTTGATACGTTTGTAATTTCCGTGTGTTTAATTACATTTTTAGTTAGTTTTGGTTGTTTAGTATTTCGGAAATTACACACTTTCGGTGTAATAGTTTAGTTTGCTAAATTCTTGTAAATTGTTTAGATTAGGTTTATTCTGAGCTCAAACAGGTCTGACATCACTCAAGGACAGTTGGTGAAACCCAAAAAGTGGAAGGAAGGTGCAAAATCACAAGACAAAAGAAGGAAATCCTGATTTTTGTCTATACTCGGTCGAGTATCTCCTATACTCGATCGAGTATCTGGTTGAAATTTCAAATCGGATCGGATCCGAAAACAAAGGAACATGCAGAGGAAGATTTCCCCACGATCGAGTGTCTATACCCGGTCGGGTACACCGACATACTCGATCGGGTATAGCTATGAATTCTACTATAAATTCGATCGAGTATGGATCGAATTCAGCTTTCTGCACATACTCGATCGAGTACATATATATACTCGATCGAGTACCCGACCTGCACCCCAAAAAAGCCTATAAATACACCTCCTTTCCTTCACAACATGATCACCAATTCCTATATACTCTTAGGCTCAGTTTAGAATAGCATTTCTCTATATTTCTTTTAGCATGTTTAGTCTCCAAATGAGGAGCTAAACTTCCATTTCTTGGTTTTGCTCTTGAAGCTTGTTGATTATTAAAGTTGTGAGTTATTTTCTTACTTTCTCCTCTTGATTATTAATTCTTCCCTTAATCTCATTCTATATTGATATTGGAGGGTGGCTAAGTGACGATTAGTTAACGTTCCAACATTGATTATTACTAGAAACGATCAACGAACCGATGGTTAAACGTTGATGGTTTCACAAGTAAGTAACTTCGGTTTATTAATGCACGGTCGTGGTTAATAAACTTAAGAGGGATTAATTTTGTTGGTTAAACTGAAACCGTTGTGTTGAGGTTATCAATCTCAATTGATTTCATCTAGGAGTTAAAGAGGTTTAATGCTACTATCAAGTCGGTATATGGCGGTGTTCTATACATGACTAATAGTAAGGGTTATTAATGAACGGTCGTTGTTAATAACTATCCTCGATGAATTGGATATACTCCTCGATTGAGTATTCGAGAGGGGATAAGTTATAGATATAACAATGATCGACTAAAATATATCAACAAGTAGAAA